CGGGGAAAACCCGAGAAATGTTTCCAACTTCGGGTTTCCATGGAAACCCGGCTGGAAAAGTTCGCCTGTGGAAAAGCGGGACCCCACCGGAGAGGCTGGAAAACGCAGTTTCCAGGAGCTTGGAAAGTCCAAAAACTGCAAATGGACCGCTCGGTGGTCATGGATGTCCGCCCCTGCTTCGACAGACCACCAGGACTTCCGAGCGTGGCGTGCGACGGCACGGGGCGTCAAGTGCGGCATTGTTGAGCGACGGCGCGCGTACCTGTTCCGCCCTTGCCCGCAACGGCTGTTTTCGAGCGGACGGCTACAGGTAGGGTCAGCGTTTCGTCGGTGGAGGAGCGGTTGTGGGATAGCTCAAACGGCTGCAGCGGATCCTGCTCTTGCAAGCCTTTGACGACAGTTTTTCGATTTTTTCTTAAACATTGCCGCTACTTCTCCATTTGGGTTGCGTGCGGACATTCTGTGCACGGTGCGGTCTGGCGGGGGTGGAGGTCGTTTGGTTAGTGCGTGGAGGTGCTGACGACGCCATAGCTGACATCACGAGAAGACGTGCCGTTGGAAGACGTGATTAATCGATATAGATATAGATATATTTATATATATATATATATATATATATATATATATATATATATATTTTTTGGCACCGCGGATCTACCTTTCGCGAACATCATGGAACCCTCATCTCGGATTCTGACAGAAGCCGACTGAGATTGCATGCTCACCCTGGTTTTCATTATCGTCCTGTGGGTGAACCGTAGGAACGCCGCAGCTATGGCTGTCCTCCATGCTGCAGCAGCACTCCCGATGTGTGGTGCAATGGTGCCGGACGCTATGCTGGTTCTCGCTGGCGCTGTCATGCATAGCCTGTCACTCATGAGCTGCGCCATACAATCCATTGGCGACAATATGGAGACGAGGAAGAGACTTTGGGTGCTAGAACGCAGCGGGGGGGTGTGGAAGGATCTGCAGAGGGTGGGGTCACATCATGACCGAGTCTTCCGGCGGTTTTGCAGACTCCCTCGGCCGCTTTTCAACGAGATCCTGTTACAGATTGCTCCCGATATCCAAAGGCAGAGCACGAACTGGAGGCAGCCAATTCCGACAGGGCAGAAGTTCGCGTGTGCCGTCATGAGGTGGGCGACAGGGGCTACGTCAGGCAGACGGCGCATGGATTGGGGTTGGGTGTCTGCAGTGCCTTGCGAAGCAACGAGGACGTGGCGGATGTGCTCCTCAAGGAGTACGGGCAGACCATGTCCTTCCCGACTGGAAGGAGGTTGCAAGAGATGATGGACACCTTCGAGAGGAAAGGCTTCCCAGGGTGTGTGGGGCCAATTGATTGCACCCACATTTACATACAGAAGCCGAAGAACGAGAGGTCCGAGTGCTACTATGATAGGACAGGGCAGTTCTCCATCGCCACGCAAGTCATTTGCGACCATGAATGTCGAATCTCTAGCTTGCGACCATGAATGTCGAATCTCTAGCAATGTCGAATCTCTAGCGTTTACATTGGATGCCTTGGGTCTGTCCGTGATTCGCGAGTCCTTCGCATATCCCGTTTGTACCAGATTGCTCAAGAGGGCAGGGGGGTATTCGGGAGCGGGTCAGTTGTTCTGCGCGACGGGCGGAGCGTTGGTCGGTATCTTCTAGGCGACGCAGGCTATCCACTGCTGCCTTGGATCATGACCCCGGGCTGRCGCGGTCCAAGGACTCCTGAGCAGGTGGTGTATGACGAC